ATTCATACATCAAATTTGTATTCTTTAGAAAAGTCTAAATAAGTTTATGACTCAAAGTTTATCTCATTTTACTCGTTCGTTCAACGTTTCGAACGTAGGTGGGTTGTAGTCTTTGTCGACCTCAAGGGTAACTTGTAAAGCTTATCTTTGTGGTAAGAAGGAAAATAGATATAGTCTGAGACCATAGGGATCTTAGTAGATAAGTCTAAATTCTTGCTCATGTGACTTGGAATGACGATGGATCTTAGTCATTTCCTTTGGAAATTTTGCAGTGCATATGGGAAGTAGGGTCTTTTTCATCCCTTCATTTTATCTGATGAAAATATGATTACAATGCTCATATGTGAATTATCTGCCGTCACTTGACCATTCAGCTATAAAACATTCAATAAGGGAATATTAGCAGGTATTCCAGAGATTGAGAAGACGGAGTTGATCTGGAAAATGTGATGTATTTGCGCTATACATTTCGAACAATCTAGTCACACATATACTTGTCAGGGCATTTTATATGAAAATTAGTAAGGGTCATTTAAATGAAAGTCCAAGTAAAAATAGACAATTTAATCATGAGGTATTCAGTATTATTGTGTTATTTTTAAAAGACTACTTTATAGCTCAGATATCCGTGAGCCAGTGAATTACTCCGAACAATTTAAACTTAGTGTTTAATATTAAGTAAATAATTTATTCACATTCGAAGTGACAAAACACCTAACTAGAAAATGAATAATTTATCTTAGAATATTCTAGAGATGAATTTTAATGAGTTTGTCTCCAACTTATATAGGTCAATACTTCACGAACTAGAAATTAAAATAATTCTAACACTCACTTATAAACCGACACACACTCTTTGGTAATGACCTACGGTTTTCGCATGAGTTTCCTCACTTAAAGTGGTATAAAACTAAGTGCGCTTTTTGTCATGTAGAAAGTCGATGTTTACTTATCTACAAATTAGCCCAAGATTCTACAAGAAGTCTATGAATTGTCAATGTATATCGAACATATTCATCTGTAAAGTATGCTTGTACATAACAAACTGTTAGGACTGATTCGGTTATCAGTACAAAATGTTGAAGACAGTAGAATATACACGTCAGTGTGAATTGGAATCAGCTAAAACTTAGTACATTCGATTGGTGGAAAGACTAATATCTGTACGAAATATATTGTTCTCTTAATGAGAAAGGCTATAGCACTTATTTGATTTTGGGTGACATTTGTTTGATAAAGAAATAAGTAAAATTACCCATAAACGGTTTTCTTTTAACTGGAAGGTTTATGAAAAAGGATAAGTGTTGTTAATTTATGAAGAAAAACCGTAAACACTGGGAATATAATGGCAAATGGAATGAAACGTGCGCCTTGGATTCCACTGCTAGCCATCATTCATCTTTGCTCAAACATAAAAATAGTCATGGTATTCAATAAGTTGTAATTAATTATCAATATTAAGTAGCAAGCCTATAATAAAGTTTATCAAAAGTGAAATTTACTAGAATTCATTCTAAGTTATTGATTGATTGATCTTATTTCACCTAAACTATATAAAGCTACTTGATTAAAAAGTTGTAAAGGCGTGTTCATTACAATTAAGTTCAATTATCATATTGAAAAAATATCTAAACAATAACTATAAAAATAGATGCAGTTAAAGAATGACCCTGAAAAGAAAGATAATCTGATAAAATAAATTCTGGTGTTACAAATGTTATATCCGAGCGAAGATTAAATCACAAGTAACTTCTGAGACATATTAATTGACTAATATTATCGATATATTCTTATGGTATAGCTATTCAATAATTAGATTATGTATATTTATATTCCTCTTATTATAAGTTTTATTTTGACCTATAGTTTATTATTGTAGGATTCACGGTTCTTAAGTTATGTTCAGTTTATTGACTACTGCCTCCCACGTTCAGACACATTTGGCCAAATATTGTACAAATGTTATTTCCTATTTTATGGTGCGTTGCGATCTGTTTATTTGATATATAAACCGAGTATGTTTGAAAAAAATGATTCATATTGCGGAAGCTGGTATTGGTGTTCTGGACTCAAGTGGACGGGCTAGAAGGACATAGGACCAATAAGGACGCTAGTTTGCTCGTACCGGTCGAACGTCATTGGTTTGGGACAGTGCTACGATTGTATAGGTCGTATTTCGACTGGTGGATAAATCACATGATAAAAAGCCGGACATAAAGGCATAACAACAAACATGTATTTAAATGATGAGTAACATGATTTTTCTGTCTTATGGAAATAAAAATGCTTGTAACTGTATCATGGAAATATAACTTTGTAGTTGATACAAAGCATTCAACATTATTGAGTGAACAAATAAAACTACTGTAAATCTTAGTATAATATTGAAATATTTTAATTAAGTGTAAATCTATTTCTGTGTACTAACAGCACTCATAGAAAAAAAGTGAACTCGAACAACATTCAAATACGATTGATTTCGATCTGTTCAAAACTGTAAACTACTTAAAACAAATATTAGTATCTTGTAACATATTTGACAGTCGGTAAAATTATACTACTTGGCTGAGGTTTTACAAATACATTCTTCCTCTTTAAGACCTCTACTAGTTTCGTTTCGTTTTCAAGTATGTTCCGTAGTGAGTGAAATCAGGTGATTGTCCTCCACACATCTCCAACACACCTGATGAAACAGATTCAGAATCAACAAAAAAGAGCCAAATTCCAAAGTAAATAGAAATGAAAGAACGTTGATAACACAGTACTAAGTAAGGATCACATATCTATCATATGAAAACTAAGAGCAAACTGGAGCATGATACTTTGCCTAAAGATAATTTCCCCAACCGAAATCCACCCAAAATGAAATACTGAAATTCAATAGTAATTTTGAAAAATTGTAGTGTTCATTCTGATGGATTGATTTTAGAGTCTTGATGACAGATTTCTCCAAAAGTTTTACATCACCCAGAGGATTAAGAATTGTACGTTATGGGCTAGTACAGAACTTGAACATAACATCTTCCTTGCGACCCGCGATTACTGAGTATTTTTTTGGTAATATCAATTTCTTACAGAATCTTATGATGTATACTTGTATATAGCGGTACTCCATTGAAGTAACAGGGAAGCTTCTGCATATTGGTGATAATTTTATACTCTTTCAGATTTTTGGAACGTAAACTAAGGCTCCTTTATCTGATGACGAATTCGATAGAATTAATCGCATTACGAATACAAATTGACCTTCTGGAACAAATAAATTAGCTCGAAAAGTTATGAATTTTCTAGAAAAATCAATTGTAAAACATAAAAGTCTATCCAGCTACTAAACTGCCCTTCAATTATAAAGAAAAACTACTCATCATGTAAGATTGACAGTTTACAAATTTATTTTGATAATCTTAGCTGCGTTAAGAAACCCAAACACAGATAAGTATATACTATTCTTACCTATTAACTTAAATTCACTTGCTGGTTCAATCTTCACCTATGTGAATTTAGCTTTATGATTTTGAGTATTAGAATTTTCACACTATGACTGGATAGCAATTTAGAATAGTCAACCAGGGTAACTGGTTAGTCATCAAGTACTACGAAGTTGCTTTCTTAAGATAGTTGTAGAATCAATGAGAAAAACGATCACTAGCACTTCGTCCTAAAATCATGTCAATGAGTGATAATCAATATACTAGTCTTTTAATATAAGGTCAGACAGAGAAACACACTGACCACAGTTTTCATACTTACAAATAAAGAAAGCAACAAAAGTTGTCATTCTTGGGTATTTCTGGAAGGCAAGTGCCGAATAACATGGCTACTCCTCTCAAAAGTCTGAAAAACAAAACGAATAATACGAAATTCATCACAATACAACAGTAACCTAAGACTTTGTTGACATCGATTTCTGTATTTCTTTTAAGTGTCATTGGCTATTCCGTTTTAGATCACTACAACCTTCAACAAATATTCTGGGTTTTTTTCAGACACGAAATGTCTAACATAAACAAAAGCTGTTATGTTAATTTAACCTGAATAAAAGCTTTGGTTCAAATTATTTTTCTATTTTAATACTGAGTTTTAAGGTCTGTAAATAATCATGCACATTTTGAAGGAACATATGAGGTCAATGAAGTGTGTATAAATTTATAAATGTGGTTGCTAGCCAGATCAGTGTATACAAATACGATAGTTTCAGTACATTTCATCACACAATAACATCAAGTAAACACTATAAAAGACAATATAACAGTGTGAACTTTAAGGTTCGTCTAGTTAGGAATATTTATTATAATTACTTATTCCTACTACCAAATGTATACTAATTATCATCACAGCCTTCGAGCAGTCACACACATTGAACAGAGGAAAGTTTAACCAATGACACAGAAAAATACAAACATGATATAAAATGCATATTAAAAAAAAAAGAAGAAAGGACCGTTTTCATTGGAGTAAATGTCACAAAAACGATACAATAAAACTATTTAAAAATAAAAGTTATCACCATTACAAAACAGAGCTAATAATACAAAATAAATAATTAAATTTACTTGGAATGTTGATCAAATATACAAAACCACCACAACAACAACAGGAAGTAAATCGTAATATCAGAGGTAATAGTAATAGTTTCTTGTAAAACAATGATATGCAAAATTGGTTTGAGCAGTAGAATGTCTTTTTTCTTTTAAATGAAAGGCATATGTAGGGAAATTACATTTTAAAAAAAAGTTAACTGATAATTTAATAAAGGGAATGAACAGAAAAAAAACTAACTTAAATGTATACATGTGTTGCTGAGAGAGGTTAAAATTTACATTTGAAAATTAAGCAAAACAATAGAAAAGTGAGCAGAGAAAAAAGTTTGCAAGAAGTAAATAATTTTTGAGTACTTTGCACAATTTACTTACGAACATATCGTATACTTTTATCTTGAAGTAAATGTATGCACAAATTAAACAAGTCATTTATTATCTCTGAAGGAAACAGAAATGATTTTAAAATCCAGAAACATCAACCACACTTATATCAGCTTGTTCTTCTTTGGTTTTACACTCCTCCTATGGTTGGGAAATTTTTTTAAAAAGAAATAAAGCGAATGAATTGAACATTCAATGAGATTTAATATTATTTGATTGAATATAGTTACCAATGAATTATGAACTTATATTTTTTCCGTAGTCTTACCCTACACAAGGATAATAATCAGCAATTTGATTTTACAAAAATTCAGTGTCACCTGAGTTTTAAATCACCAGTCTAGCATTCTAACGTCAAGCTATTTGAGGGAAAAGTGACAGTTGTAGGGTTGGATTAAAATCTTATAGGATGAAGAGTGAAATGTTTGAAAGATTTAACTTTCAATGATTGAGTTAGGAACGCGAATCTTACCCTGCATATCGTGGTATAAGTAGCCGGGTAGCACTATCATATATAGACATGTACTACTTAGATGAGTTACAGAAATCAAAGAATGGTATTACTCCTCGAATTTCAGTAACCAATTGGCAATCTATTGATCAAGATTATGCAATATAATGTGACGTATGAGCGTGCACAGTATTTACAGTGAGTAAACAGTAATAAACAATGAGAAACCAAATACACAGTGAACAAAACATATACCAACACCGTTTACATGGACAAACAAAGGACAAAAACATAACATATATTGTAATTTAAATACACAATGAACCAGCCATATATATGTAGGTGCTACAAAACTTGCGATAAAGGCACGTATAAAAGCAAAAACTAAATAGTAATTTTACAATGTAGACAGACAGTGTATAAATATACCCTTTGGAACGTGCTCAACTATGAAGCGACTAGTCTCTAAAATTATATTAATTTTCTTACAGGAAAGCAATAATAAGGGACTTATAAGGGCATGTTCTATGTATGAAGACAAGATAGAACGATTACAATCATATATTAGTATGTAATACTTTTTAAAACAACATACTAATTCTTGTAAGTTGAGCCAAATTATCATAAGTGGACAACAGAACAATGAAATCCATAAAAAATGAGATTATCAATACTTATAATAAAGATAAACAGCTAAGTTGGTTTAACATAATCGGATATACGATTTCGAGTACGATATCAATATTTTTGTCATTAAGCCTAGAATGTAGACGAAACAGATAAAAAACGAGTTGTTTGTAACAAGTTAAGATAAACACCAGTGACTTCAAAAAGTCAAATAAATGGATATATACAATATAGGACCGGCTACAAACATATATTGGTTGTTGTTGCACCCAATATCACCGTATCAAAACGAATATAAAACGACTAAAATCAATAATACCACGTAATAATGGCATTCAGGAGTTAAAAGGAGATAAAAAGAGAAATTCAACTAATACACTCTGGGGTCAGACTCAAATCATATTACACTGATAAGTCCATTTTATACTAATCAGTCCTTATGGATGAACCGAGAACACATTAGAAGATTTCCAATAAACCGTATGCAATCTCTTTTCACCAACAGATCTTTTATTACTCGAGTTTGTCAGAATATATAGTTTCCAATTAATTCATGTTCTGATTTGACAAAAGTAGAGTGAAGTTAATGGGATACTACACAGAGGAAAACATAGCAGCTGGTGAAGTACAAATAATGCTTTGGTCGGGTTCGATAGTGATGTCAAGAACGAAAGATAGAGCGCATGTACTGGCCACCTTTTTTCGTATCCGTGAGTTCAACTAGTTCTAGAGAGCAAATCAGATTGGTAGATGTTCTAGTATTTTACTTTTCCATGATCGTGACCATCTTCAAACGTAGCTAAAAGACATAGAAAGTTTTATCTATGCCTACCTGGTTCAGACGAAATATGATGCTAACATTAGTCAGTCATTTTTAAAAATTTACAATGTTAAAAGTAATTCTTTTAAATTTCCCAGGCTCCGCATTTTCTGAATCCCAAAAGCGGCTGCAATACGAATGTAAAAGCTGAGATTTGAATCCAAAATAAATAGGTCCACTGCAATATGTCTACTTTGACCAAACTAATAATCTTCAAACAATAAAACGAATAAATAAACCTTATGTGAATATCGCCATCCCTTCTACACTTTTTATAAATTCAAATTCATCTGATTCAATCACATTATTATGTTAGAACAACTTAGTACTCACTCCATATTTACTTTTCTCGTAATTAATTAGTAGATTACTTAATGTATATTAGAATGTCTGGTTTTATTGTTATCTATATTGTTTCTCCTCACCTTATATATGGTGATTTTTGAAGTTTCATTTGACAAAAACCAGATTCACATATAAATTGCATGTTACTTACTTCGGCAGTTACAAACAATCTTAAATTCATGAAGATTATTAACGACAATCCATCGTTATATATTACTTTAGATATATAGTAATAGCATTTAATAAGAGCTTGTTAAGAGGATTACTCTTCGTTCATAAAAATGAACTTATTTAAAATGAGTATAGCTGATCTTAAATAGCTTTATCTTGGGTTGTGAGTGGCAGTCTGTGGATTCGATTTGTACACTCCGAATTTTAGTTTTTGGATTGGAAAATCGTGGAATAAGCTAAGATGCGTTACTTTTAAGGCTCAACTTTTCTAACACATCCTTTTATTATGGAAAGGCGGGATATCTAGAGGAGAGGCATATGCAAATACGAGGAAAATTCAACCCAGAGCTCATGTAGGACGATTTATTAAAAGATTATGTCGTTATTTTTCTAAGTCTTTGTGGATTGGGAAAGAAGTTGAACACTTATTAAACGACGGACTACATAACCACATTTGATGACTTTAATGTCGTACCAAACAGGATAAGAAAAACAGTGGAATATAAATTGAAACCATAAAAACTACTAAACTAAATATACACAGAAGTAGATTTTAGATAAAATGTGCGTCTACATGCAGATAAATGTTCCATTTTCTCATGCAGTAAACAAAGAATAAAATACCTTGTTCTTCGAAAAATCCTTGAGGTGCCTCTTCCTTTAAATAATATTAAGATAAATATGTATTGATAATAAGGGTAATAAAACAAGTACAGCAAAATGAGGAATACAGTATGCAAATATGAGATTGAAACTTAACTTACCTCTTGAATTAAATCTTGCATGTCAATGTCGTTTAAAGCGCTTTCTTTGCCAGTCTCCTGAACTTCTCCTCCCAACATAAACTCATCTAGTACGTAGTATGCCTTTTCAAAATGGAATATAATGTCGAGTTCACAAACCTAATCGAAAATATAAGTCAGATATTAATTACCGCATAAAGAAAAAAAATGGTGATCTCTTAAATTTGATTGACATTTTAAATACGTTAAGTTGGTATTCAAGAGCGCGCACTCAATCTTTGAAGCAGTTGGTTTGAGGTTAGAAACTCGCCTTATCTACTTTGCTTTGGGTAGCTCACAGAGTGTGATCCTAAGTTGAGTACGAAGAATGTAATTGACTATTGAGTTATATTAACCTGCACTCAAATGTTCAGAATTATCGCATAGTGTTTTACTATTTACGAAATATTTTTCGACTAGGCCAAGAGATGGAAAAATACTAGGGTGCAGCAAGTTTTGGAAACAGAAACAATAATAATTACAGTGGAAATACAAATTACTTTTAACTGTTTCACTTGGGATCAGTAAGAGAAAATCATAGCAGCGAATCATAAATGATTAAAGGCCAGGGAGAGACAACCCGACCGTTGTTGCTACATTGACGTGGTGGTCGGGCTTGCCTATCGTGATGAAGCAACCGAGCTATACTGGCTGGAACAACCGTTCCTCAAGGTCCTACCATGTCAGACAGGTCGGTTGAAGAGCGGTAAGACTAAAAGCAACAAACCCAAGGTCCGAAGGAGAAGTCGTACTGCTGACTGTACAGAGGTGTGACAGCAGTAAGGTGTTTCCTTCAGACAACCAGCATGACAGCGATGCTGCCCTCCCACAAAGAGGGGTGGGGTTAGAAAAGGTCGACCCTAAAAATGCACACCTCACCTTACCTCACGGATTTCCGTCTCCGGCGGTAAGGCCCTTTGAAGAACGGAGCTAACACGTCGAAAACCTTCCACGAAAAGGCCGTGCGCGACCGGCCTCAAGCAGTTGTCCCTTGGGCACTGCGGTCACGCTCTCAGGTCACTGAGACCACCTCTAATCCAATTTCCTTTTCAGGTACCTCCAGAAGAACCCTTCCACGGTGTGGGCAACCGGGAAGTGATAACCGCCCTCATACCTCTAACAGCACCCAAGACCACTGTATTCATAATCAACCTTCCTCTTCAATTCCTATTATTCCTCCTACATCGACTTTCACCTCTAAACTTCCTCCTTCGGCTTCCTCCTCAAGTGTCACCATAGCCAACGATTCTAGTGCTCAAAACTCTGTCCCAGGTCCACTGAAACCTCGCTCCAAACTACACATTGGAGCTTTCAACGTACGCACTCTATGTCAAATCGGTCAGCAGGCTTCCTTGGCTAAAACCCTAGAGTCTCTTTCCATTGATGTATGCTGTGTCTCTGAAACACGCATACAGGATTCCAGTGTGGTCATTCACTTGACCTCACCTCGGCAAAACGGAGAGCCGACGAGATACACCCTTCGTGTATCTGGTGACCCGATGGCCAGTTCTCGTGGACTGGCAGGTGTAGGCATAGCACTAAGCATGAGGGCCGAACAAGCACTGCTAGAGTGGATCCCCGTTAACAGTCGTCTATGTGCTGTTCGGCTGAACGGCTACGTAAGAACTCGGAAGGATAGGGACACACGTCGTTGCCTTTTTGTCGTTTCTGTCTACGCTCCCACTGACTGCAGCTCAGATGATGTGAAAGATGAATTTTACAGAAAGCTTTCTGAACTTTTTCAGAAAGCTAAACGCTCAGACATAGTACTCGTAGCAGGTGATTTTAATGCTCAGATAGGTAGCTTAAACCAAACAGAAAGGCATTTAGATGGATATTTTAGTATTCCGACACAGCGAACAGATAATGGTGATCGTCTGCTGCAGCTATGCTCAGACAATCGTTTATTTTTAGCAAACACAAATTTTAAGCATAAGGAGAGACATCGTCTAACATGGCGACCGCCTGCACCAAACCAACGATGGACTCAAATAGACCATATTGCCATCAGTCATCGTTGGAGAGGGTCGGTAGAAGATTGTCGCTCATTCTGGAGTACCTGCTTGGACTCCGACCACGCCCTAATACGGGCACGCATCTGCTTGCGCCTCACTGGACGCAAAAAAGCCACAGTAAAAAGACCCATTAGAACCGAACTGAGTAGCGAGGAAACCAAAAGTAGGTTCCAGGAACAACTGAGGTCACACTTAGGTAGTTGTGAAGACGAGGCTGACCCAGATGTTACTTGGAAGGGCATACAATCAGCTGTGGAAACAGCAGTGACATCTATTAGTGACTTAAACCACAGAGTTGCAAGGAACCAGTGGATTTCTTCAAGGTCTGTCACACTGATGGATTCTCGCAAACTCGTCCCATCAGGTTCCGAACATAATGAAGAGCGACAACAAATCAGATCTAGGTTAAGAAAAAGTCTAAGAAACGACCGTGAGCAGTGGTGGGCAACGAAAGCAAAAGAGATGGAAAAGGCGTCGACTATAGGGAACACAAGACAGCTTTACAGACTAATAAAAGAAAATGGAATTAATAAATCAAGTGTAAGTGAGATTATATCGGAAAAAGACGATACTCTCATCTGCTCCCAGTCCAGGCGTTTAGAACGATGGGCGGAACATTTCAGAGAACAGTTCAGCTGGCCTTCAGCTACTCTACAACTACCCTCCATTCCCAGACAGTGTGAATGGAACATTGAAGTAGGTCCCCCAACTCTTGCTGAAGTTCAAAAGGCTATAGTTAATCTGAAATGAGGAAGGGCAGCTGGTCCAGATGGATTGGCTCCAGAGGTCTTTAAGGATGGTGATCCAATTTTAGCGATTAGGTTGACTAATATTTTAGCTAAGATCTGGGAATTAGACTTTATCCCATCTGACTGGTCGCAATCACTTATCGTCCTAATATATAAGAAAGGGTCAAAATCATCCTGTGACAACCACAGAGGGATTAGTTTAACAAACATAGTATCTAAAATACTGGCCTCGATAATTATCAGACGCCTAACTAAGACTCGTGAACTACAAACTCGAGAGAACCAAGCTGGCTTTAGACCTGGTCGTGGCTGCATCGACCACATATTCACCATTCGTCAGGTTCTAGAACACAGGCATACTTATCGGCGTCCGACGATTGTGGTCTTTCTCGACTTAAAAGCAGCATTTGACTCTGTAGACCGCGAGACTCTGTGGCAGTGCCTGTCATTGAAAGGCGTACCCCAGAAGTACATAAACCTTGTGAAGTCTCTTTACTCGAACACTACTAGTCGAGTCAGGGCTTATGGCGAACTGTCATCTACTTTTGCAACTTCAAGTGGTGTCCGTCAAGGCTGTCCACTTTCTCCATTTTTGTTTAACTTCATCATAGATCTACTGATGGAAATAACTTTCTCGTCGACTGAATTCTCGGGTATTGATCTCCTACCAGGAGGTCCACATATCGACTTAGAATACGCAGATGACATAGTCCTGTTTGGTGAAGACGCTGACAAAATGCAGAGTCTTCTGGTAGCACTGAGCAACAATGCCAGGATGTTTGGAATGCGCTTCTCTCCCTCTAAATGCAAGTTGTTGCTTCAGGACTGGTCTGCGTCAGCACCTGAACTAAGGATAGGGAGTGAAGTAGTCGAACGCGTCGACAACTTCACTTATCTTGGAAGTCTGATCAGCCCTAATGGGTTGGTATCGGACGAAATCTCAGCACGGATTCGAAAAGCTCGTTTGGCTTTTGCCAACTTACGTCACCTTTGGCGGAGGAGAGATATCCGTCTATCAATAAAAGGACGAGTATACTGCGCGGCAGTCCGTTCTGTCTTACTTTACGGCAGCGAAACATGGCCTTTAAGAGTAGAAGACACCCGTAAGCTACAAGTATTTGACAACAGATGCCTTAGAAATATTGCTGGCATCTGCTGGGATCACCGGGTAAGTAATAGTGAGGTTAGACGCAGGGTATTAGGGAATGATGGTAAATCAGTTGATGAGGTTATGAATCTTCATCGACTGAGATGGTTGGGCCACGTATTACGTATGCCTGAACACCGATTACCACGACGTGCAATGCTAACCGGTGTAGGGGATGGTTGGAAGAAAGTTAGGGGCGGCCAAACCAAAACGCGGCATCAGTGCTTGAAGTCACTAACTTCTAGTCTTAGCCATGTTGGTAGATGCAGACTACTTGGTTGGGGTCCGCGTGACTTTCGTAACCAATGGTTGGAGACTCTTGGTGACACGGCTCAGAATCGATCACAATGGCGTCGGTGTATACACTCCCTGTCTTCCCTTAAACTAAGAGATTAAAATCACTATATATCTTTCTTTCTACGAACTAATTCTTCCTTCCTATACTATATCCTTATTGCAACCTTTGACCTAACCACTCCTATGAATCCGGTGTTCATCTTGTTGTGCTAATGAGGTATGGCAACCTGAACCGAAGCACATATGTGCCTGGTCCTACGTTGTAGCTGACTGACTGACTGACTGAGGGAGAGACAAATGAAAGTGAGAGAGAACGACAGCGTATGCAATAGTCCAAGTGATCTTCTGGAGCTAGTTGTGTAAAGTGTACAATTTATCACTCAGGCCATCAAATCCTGGAACCCCATCTTGTTTATCAGGTCGCTGAACAAACCCTTATGACGTCGTGTTCCATGAGAACGTATCTACCTGTAGCACACTAGTTTCTTATATTGTGAAGAATTAGTGTTTTTCTATGGTTCTTAGTATCAAGTGTGGTTGTGGCAGTAGGCTAAAACATATAAAGCATCACACTCTAACATCTTGGATTATTGCATTTCCAATCTACGGATCAAAATGTACCTTAAAAGCAATGGAAGCAATTTTTGAAACGAATTTAAACCAACTGTAAACAAACAAGTAAGAAAGTACGACAGTACTGAAGATCCCCATCTTAAATTTTAGTAAAAAGGACGAATAGGAAAAGTGAAATTGATATTCAACTAATGTTTCATCATAGCTCTCTCTCTCTCTAAATATATATATATATATATATATATATATATATATATCATTTAGAGTAAAATAATACTGATCGAGTGGTTGCGTTACGTAATTATGCAATGTAGCAACTGTATGATTTTTCGGACGATTGCTTTTACCATAATTTTTTGTTTCGACTACTCAGTGGTATTTGATAATCAAGGTGGCATTATACATTTATTGGGTAATACAACTACTTGATGGGTACTATCTCATTGTCGCGAACTACATATATATGGAATCGTGGGGAAAAACTAATTGAAGAGAAATTTTTCTCGTTCTATAGGCTTTTTTAACAAAATGTACAAGAATTTAAGTCTGAAAAGGTTGATTATGGTCATGTATACATAGCACCTAATTGCGTAGCACTCTATTGAAGCTTTAGATCGATCAAAAACTACAATAAAGCTACAGCCTAACTGCTGTCACTCTTCAACAACATGTATACGTGTTTTTATGCGACCCGCAGCTTCCGGTGCAGTGCTGATACACTACAGCTGCCCAAACCGAATCAAGTAGGGTGGGTTTCGGAAATGCAATCTATTGTCAAAAAGAAGTGGAGAAATACCAAGACTAACCGTTTTCAAATGAGTCTAATAACTAAAAGACCTAAATTCCTCCTGGTAAGGCGCTAGATTTACTACAAAACTTAACGTTCCATTCAAATCGGTTTTAGTTTGACCTATCCAGACACAAACAGATGTTAATTTCATTTAAGAGGATTATGATCAATACGAGACTTCTTTGAGAAAAAAAATATAATTGTTATGGGTTCCAACAAGCATAAAAATAGAGTCGTTTGAAACCTCTTGATTTTTATTTATACGACTAGGATATGGAAAACCTGCCTTCGCAATGTTATGAAAATATACTGAAATAACACGAAAACTTTAGAGGTTCAACTTACGCTACCAAAATACTTATCTAAAAGTTCCACATATCTGTGGATTATTTCCAAAGTCAATAGCTCATTGTCCTGGGGTTCAACTGCAGCACAGAAGTATAGACTAGCATAACTAAAAACGTTAATTATAAAACCAGAATGAACGTGCCGACGATAAACAACTTTCAAGTCCTTCCATTCAATAAATGAACACATTTTTGGCTTTCGTGAAAGCACAATTGTAGTGAGATCGCGTAAAATTTTTTTCTTTTCTTTTTCAGAATAGGAAATATACCACTTTTGGAGCCTTAATTTTCCCTGGCGGCTAAACAAGATCATAAATTGCATCTAAAAATTAACAATTGAGAATGCTTTCAGAATTACCATCTTAGCAAGAACAGGTTTTAACAGATGAGTTGGAAATACGTCAGAATGGAAATAACCGCCAGTTACACGCCCAAAGGCGACCCTGAGATTCTGTCGGTTTCAAATTGTTTTGTAAAACCGAAGAAATTTTCTCCTTTACTGCTAGTGATGATTGCATTAAAATATCCACATAGTGCAGAAGTTATGGGTACAAGATGGAAAACTGAATCATCAACTCATTCAAAGACTGACATCAGGGAATGGAAATTCATCAAACAGTCATTGAGGCTCAAAAACATACTGACTCAGCATGTGACGAGACTAGCCAAGAAGGACGGTGATTCCAGACCCCGGCTAATGAAGATAACTGCCCAGTCCTCCCACACGGCGGCTGCAACTCTGGAGGCCTTTCGTGCCAATAGATGTCGGTTGCCAGCTGGAATCCACATGCACCCAGATAGTCCATATGAAGCTGGGACCAAGCACAAAAGCAAGTCGGAGCTGACCATTCCACTTGTGGACTGTCTCGATGGCAAAAAAAACGTGTAAAGAACAGGGCCTACCAACTCAGCAAACATTATATAGGTAGGCTACCTGTCCATTCACGTACGGCTCAAACAGACAAACAGGAAGATGCTCACGCGTTTCAAATCGAAAGCATAAACTGCTTATACATGAACGCCGCGAGTCTACCAAACAAAATGTATGAGCTACATGAACTTAGCAATACTCATAAGGCTCATTTAATAGGAATAACTGAAACTTGGACATCTCAGTCCTCGGACCAGGAGTTAGCAGTGTCTGGGATGTCTTTGTTTCGCAACGACAGAAAATCAGGAATCGGGGGTGGAGTAGCCATGTACACACGTTCTTGCTTGGAGGTACATCAAGTTCATAACCTCGAGTTTAACAATCTTGAGGAATCCATATGGTGCTCTGTAAAATTGTCTGCTACTTCGAGGTGTCTAGTCGGACTCATATATAGGAAGCCTACCGCCGACATCGAGTACGACAGTCGTATGCTGGAAGGACTATCCCGCTCTACTCGTCCCGGTTTCACACACATCCTGATTCTAGGGGACTTTAATCTCCCTAGAGTCAACTTTGCGGAACACACGTATACTGGAGGCGACAGCTCAATTGAAGCTCGGTTCTTCAACCTCATCGATGACTTGGGATTGTTCGAAAATGTGAGGTCGGCAACTCGTTAGAGAAAAGGTCAGACACCATCGCACTTAGACTGTGTACTCACAACCTCTCAATCCTGGCTCCCCTGGGAAAAAGCGATCATGCCGTCATAACCTTCAGTTTTGTCATCAAAACTAAGCTAAGATACCCCACCAATAACTTGCGTTGGAATTTTAAACAATTAAATGTGCCAGCTCTACACGACTATCTACAACAGGTGGTTTGAGGTGTTCACCCCCAACTCGACGTGGACGGTCATTGGGACTTCTTACTGCACACGCTCTTACGTGTTACAAACCATTCAGTTCCTCAAACGGTTCCCAAAAGCGGCAAGCCACCTTCAATAATCAAGAACTGTACCCTTCGCCTGCTAAGCTGCGAAAGGCACTGTTAGGCGGAATACAAACGAATTGACAATGACGCAGCGTACAGGTAATATAAACATATCAGGAACATATGCACGAAGGCTATAAGAGGAGACAGGTTTCAGGACCAGACAAAGCTTATGGACAAATTTGCCCCTAATCCTAAAAGCTTATTCCGTTATGCAGCCTCTCTTCGTCAAGCCAAAACAGGAGTTTCCCAACTGCTAGGTATTAACGGCCCGACCAACAACGATGGCGACGCCGCTAACCTTCTGGCTGAGCATTACTCTCAGACATTTCAACCGACAGACATTAACTTTACTGATGACAGTTTCGTTTCGTTCCGAAGTGAACCTAAGCGCTGACTTAGTGTTTCGGAAACTGCAGCACTTAAAATTAGACACTTCTCCCGGCCCGGACATGGTCCATTCCGCCATACTGAGGGAAGCAGCCTCAATCTTGGTAACGCCGCTTAGCGTAATGTTCTCACACTCGCTAAGTCGAAGAAAACTACCGGAAAATTGGAGGCTGGCTCACATCACACCAATTTGCAAAGGGGATCGAAGCAGCGAAACTTCAAGTTACCGACCGGTGGCTCTTCTCTCCATACCCTCAAAAATCACGGATTCCCTGATATGCGATGGTATAAATGACTATTTACTGTCCTTAAATTTCTTCTCACCCCAACAGCATGGTTTCAGGAAGGGTTACTCTTGTATTACCAACCTACTGACTGCTGTGGACAGATGGACAAGCATCCTTGATCACAAGGGGAAGGTTGATATCCTCTATCTAGATTCCTCAAAAGCTTTTGATAAGGTTAACCATACATGTCTTATCAATAAGCCCAAACGATTGTGTATCACACCACCTCTAATCGATTGGCTTACTTCATACCTGAAAGATCGACATTTTAAGGTCAGGGTTAATTTCACTTTATCTCAGGCTACGGAATGTCCTAGTGGGGTCCCCCAGGGCTTAGTACTAGGACCTCTTCTCTTCCTGATCTACATAAATGATCTTCCTCAACAGGTATCGTCAGATTTATTACTTTTTGCTGACGACGTGAAGCTTTGGAGAGAGATACGCAACCAAGACGATATGCAGGCACTCCAGGAGGATCTGACTCGACTTCAAAGTTGGGCAGACGATAACGGACTTACCTTTAACACTTCAAAGTGTAAAGTAGTCCATCTGCGACATGTCGCAGACTACAGTTATAACTTAGATAACTCCTCTCTAGTAGTATCCGAAGTCGAAAGGGATTTAGGAGTCTTGGTGCCCTACGATTTAAAGTCTTACGCTAACTGTGACAAAAATGCCTTCCGAGCAAACCTTGCACTGGTAACGTTGAAGCGCATTTTTGGCCAGTTTGACGGAAGAACTTTCCATATAATCTTCAATAGTTTTATCCGTCGCCATTTAGAGTACGGAAACATAGTATTTCCCTCCTCACTCCAAAAGGATAAGGACACCCTGGAGCGTATTCAACAGCGAGCCACGAAATCAGTTCGAGGACTCAAATCTAAGCCTTACGAAGAACGCCTCCATTCACTTAACCTTTATCCATTAGAGTATAGACGTCTTAGAGGTGACATTCTGATGGCTTATAGTATCCTTAACACTTCTGAACATCCTCTCAAACACCTACTTAAGCTTAGTTCCAACACTAACCTAAGAGGTAACACCCAAAAACTGGAGACATAACATAGCAGAATGGACTGTAGACACAATTTCTACTCCTTAAGAGTTGTCAAAATCTGGAATTCGCTGCCGAGCGAGCGAGTCCAAGCAACTTCCCATGAGATCTTTAAGAGGCAACTTGATCTATTCTTAAGGACTAAGGATAGTATCACACTATGATTTACTAATTTCTTTTCCTGTTTTATTGTTAACATACCTAGGTTCCTGCCTGGAGGATTTGGTGATCCCCTGCTACTAGACACGGAAGCCTGTTAAGCGAAAGCTTCTTCTATTCCGTCCACAACCATTTGAACCATTTGATTTTCGTGAACACTCAAGACTACAGAATTAGATTCAGATTTGTTTAGTAAGGATGGAAGGCCTACGGCCTAAGTTTTTCCTTGTCTATAAAGCTTTTGTGAGTGTCTGTTCTTCTCTTGAATGAATCAAGTGAAGGTGCGGATACCAGTGCTTCGGGTAACAGGTTCCAAGAATTGATTCAAATGGTTCAAATAGTTGTGGACGGAATAGAAGAAGCTTTCGCTTAACAGGCTTCCGTGTCTAGTAGCAGGGGATCACCAAATCCTCCAGGCAGGAACCTAGGTATGTTAACAATAAAACAGGAAAAGAAATTAGTAAATCATAGTGTGATACTATCCTTAGTCCTTAAGAATAGATCACGTTACCTCTTAAAGAACTCCTGGAAAGTCGCTTGGACTAGCTCAGCGGGCAGCAAATTCCAGCATTTGACAACTCTTAAGGAGCATAAAACCATGTAAGACAGGGGTGTTTTGCTCGTTCATGGTTTTTTACTCACCTCCTGTATTCTCTGAGTTGTTCCAGTTTAGTAGGAAGGAAAAAAAGATGTATTATGTCATTAATCATTTCTCAGTATTTAATACATCAAAATTAGATCACCTCTTAACCTGCGATAGGACGGAGTAAAGAGATCTAGATTTCCAAACCGATCTTTGTATGGAAAAACTCTGGAGTTCTGAAACTGCACGGGTGGCTGTCCTCTGCACTTTTTCAGGGTATCGGAGTTGCCTTTTAAACAGTGGCTTGCAGCCTGAACGCAGTTCTAAAGTTTAGATCCTACTAAGGTTGTGTACACTGTAGTGAACATAGTAATATCTAACTTGATAAAACACATAGGGCTCTAAGCTCCTAAGCCGTGAACTCACAATAGTAGACCGTAATCTTATGATCATGACTCACTCCAAGATCCTTGTAAAACCAGACAACGAGTACAGGCATTTCCCCTGTGCTGTACCTATTTACGTTTGTATCCGAAAAGTGCATGTAGACACACTTGGTCGCGTTGATAGGCATCAGTCACATTTTAGACCAGTTAATCTGAAGTGCACATGTATCTATGTCCCCTGTTACTTTTCACCAGGTTTCCACATTATCAGCATTTGAGACTGAAGTATACTTTGGATTTAATTTACATACAGTATAAAAGTCAAAGGACGTAAGACAGAGCCCAACGTAGCTCCATTAAATACTGGTTTCCTGGAGGTGCACTTGGGATTTATTTTTACCTTCTGTCTACGATCTATTAAGAAATCCCAAACCCATTTTAAGAGAGATTCAGCTAAGCCTAGATTTTCCAGCTTGAAGTCTATTTTTTGGTGCACTACCAAATCCTTTGATGAAGTTTGTACAGACAGCATCCACCGACTTGCTATTCTCTGGAGCCTCTGCCTATCGCTCTCTTGCTATAGGATGGTCAGTTATACTAGATAACCATTTTCTGAAACCCTGTTGCTCCTGCTTAACAAG